AGTGGCAGGGGGCGAAGGAGGCATGGCCAAGGGTCCACGCCTAAACATCCCATTCCCTTCCTGATGGGGGCCTTTCAGTCCCTGAGTTACTACTCTGTGAAACTCACACTGAATGAGTAGGCAGCCAGTCGGCCCCCAGGCTCCTTCGGTCTCTGAGCACACACTCTGTGAGACTCACACTGGGAGGGAGACCCTTTCAGTCCCTGAGTGAGCAGCCGGGACGAATCACACTGGAGGAGTCAACAACGCTCAACTACAAGCCTCCTCCGGGGCCCCAGCTGAGTCTCAAACTGGAAGGGAATCCTTTTGGATCGCTTCCCTCCCAACTTCATAGCCTGAGAAATAATGTCAGCTGCAGCCAGATCTCTTGGAACCAAAAGTAAACCTGGTGATGCACTTTAATACCAGGTATTGCCATCTCAATAAATTAATAACTAGTTTTTTTTACTAGGGTGAGACATTATGTCCTCGAACTGGAAAATAAATCTGTGTGACCCTTTTAAATTCTAGATGTGGCCGTTGAAACCCTGAGTAGATTTCTTGCCTGGCTTAACTTAGGCACGAGGGTCGTTCTTAGAACCAGAAAGCATCTCAATGGCCCTTTTTAATGCTGGGTGTGCCGGTGATTGATAATAGATTTTATAGTTTTCTGCCTGGCGTAAATTGAGCCACAGCCATGGTTCCTAGAACCAGAAAGAAAACCTCAACCGCTCTTTTTAATGTCTGGTGTGGCCAGTGATTGATAAAAGATTTCTACTTGGAATAATTTTATCCACGGCTGTTGTTTAAAATGTGTAAGTTATGTTTTGACTGATAAATGTTAAACATGACACACAGTATGGCGGTCACCTGAAGAATTTTGATTTCTTTTGTCACACACATTTGTCTTTTTGTTCCTGAAATTTCTGTCTGACATGTATTTTTTGTAATACAACTGAGTTTTACTCCTGATTTACTGTTGTTAAGCAGTTGTGAGGCTTATGGTAGACAAGGCATTTTGTCTTTTGCCTGTTTTTATGTATCCTTTCTTATCACCATCTCTTCACCAAGAGATACCTGTTGTGATATTTATGTATTTGAACACTGAAGTTGTGTTTTCTTTCTTCTGAGAAAAATCTTTTGATGACAACTATGGTTCCTTTTACACCTCACCCTTTGTCAAAAATGTCATTTTAAATTAGTGAACTATTTAACCCATGGTATTTTATCATTGCTTTTGTAATTTTTATGTGACTTTTTATCCTTAAAATATTGGATTATGCTTTTATGTATTTTATCTGTAAGACTGTATTATGTTTTGAACTGTTGTACAAACTGTTGCAACTGGGTAACGCTCGGAAGATGCGATGCAGCACAATAAAGTATTTTTCGAGTCTTCCTTCATTACATTTGGGATCCTGCAGTCAGGAGCCTGGACCTGTTGGGCACCTTGTGCTCCTGCCCTTTGCCGAAGTCACCGAGGATCATCTTTTGTAAGGATTTGGAGGTTTGGTATATTCAGAAATGTCCTGTTCTACCAAAATAAACTTCCAATGAAGTTTTTTCTGCATTACATAACATTTTAGATCTCTCTCTCTCCCTCTCTCTCTCTCTCTCATCTATTATCTATCTCACCTATTAATCATCTATATCAGACATGTCAAACACAAGGCCCGGGGACCGGATGCGGCCCGCGAAGTGGTTTCATGTGGCCCACGAAGCCATCCTAGAAACAGTGAGGGAACGGCCCCCGCTGCCTTGGCCCTGGCCCAGGCCGGCCGGGAGCCAATGTACAATTTTGTGGTGGCCATCTTGGCACTTGCCCAGTGGACCATGCCTTGGCCCTTGCCCCGGTCCCACCCCCTTCTGCCAGAGACCCTCAGATCTGTCCCACTTCTGCCCAGGCCCCCACAGGCACCCTTGACGCGACTGGTGTAGAACTGGCCACGCCCACCCAGTAGGCCACACCCACTCCCTCCACGCCCACCCAGTAGGCTGCACCCACCCGCCCCCCAGAGCAACCGCAATGCTGATGCGGCCCTCAGTGAAATTGCGTTTGACACCCCTGATCTATATCTATTTAATCTATCCAGTAACCTTTTCTGCCGTACCTTAGGGGGAAAAAATGCCATGGGCTTACCTGGCCACAGGAGGGCAGCATTCCCCGTTTTGCCCTCCTCAGTGCCCTATTAGGAGTGAAATTTTAGCTCCTGCATCTATCTTTTATATTCCCAGCAGCCTCTTCTTTGGCTGCTTTGAGCTTCCATCAAAGGGAGGAAATGAAAGAATAACAATAAGCCACTCCGGGGCTTCTTTGCCAAACGCTACAGCACACACTGGCCACCGGAGGGCAGGCTTTGCTGCGTTGACTAAACTCAGTTTTATAGGTGTTTGCTTATTATGTATATTCCTTTATCAAAGGTGTACTCTGAGCGCCCCTAGGACACAGGTCAGCAACCTGCGGCTCCGGAGCCGCATATGGCTCTTTGAGCTTTCCCCTGCGGCTCCCAGCCTCCTCGGCCATTTGCAGACAGAGACAGAGAGAGGCACTTGCGCTTCCCCCCCTCTCCTCCCCTCTCTCTCTCGATCTGTGTGTATGTGTGTGTGTAAAAAAGAGAGTGGACTCACTGTGTTCTCCGAGGAGCTGAAAAGCTTACTGGGCGGCACTCCTCCCTTTGCTGCGTCTCTGCAGGAAACAGGAAGCAGGAAGGGCAGGAGAGAGCTAGCTAGCCCAGGACTCAGGAATTCTGGGAGTTGAAGTCCACGAGTCATAAAAGAGCTGAGGTTGCCTACCCCTGAGCTTGTTGGAGAACAGCTTGAAGATCTCTTCTTAAAAACTTCCAGTGTTGGAGCATTCGCAATTTCTGGAGGCAGGTTGCGAAGGACACATTTCCACAAGAAAATACGGCTAGGAAAGAAGCTAATATTATGCTTGGGGAAAACCTAAAATCTATCTCTTATATAACACACAAGACTGAATTGGTTAATCATTTCTTTAGCAAGCAACCTTTTCCAACAAAGGTCACAATATTTGCTTCTATTTGCAAAATCTCGATTCCTGTTTCAGTGTTCAGTAGGGTATTGCCCTTAATGTGCAAATAAAGCAGCAATATCTGCAGAGGCCCATTCCCCCAGGGGCACGCTGGCCAAGCTCTCGGAGCAAGCTGACCCTCACCACTCACATTTAGAAACACCACGATCGTGATGATTGCCAAATTCTTGGCCAAAATAGCATTTTTGGGTTCATTTGCATGACGCAGAGAAGAGAGCTTCAAGGAACTTCAGGTTTGGGCCTCCATCTTTAATCTAGTCCTTGACTTCTAAGTTCATTTAGGGACTGTTCAGAATTACAACATCACTGAAAAAAGGGACTTATGGTCATTTTTCACACGATTGTTGCAGCATCCCCATGGTCACATGATCAAAATTCAGACAGTTGGCAACTGACTCATATTTATGACGGCCACAGTGTCCTTTTGCGACCATCTGACAAGCAAATTCAATGGGAAAGGCAGATTCACTTAACAACTGTGCTAAGAAAGGTTGTAAAATGGGGCAAAATTCACTTAACAAATATCTCACTTAGCAACATAAATCCTGGTCTTGATTGTGGTCGTACGTCGAGGACCACCTGTATGCTTCCTGCATCTGTAGAGGATTCAAATTATGGATTTGACCCTCGAAAACTAAGATTCGTGCTTTGAAAGGTATTTATCTTTATTACTCTCTATCCTTCCATTTTATTCATTGGAGAAGCTTCAGGGGTTTTTTTGCCAGTTGTTAATAAGTCACTTTTTTCAGTGAAGTTGTAAGACTGAATGGTCACTAAACGAACTATTGTAAGTTGAGGACTACCTGTACAACTGCTAGGAGCAGAAAATTTTGGAGAATGTCGTCCTGAGGTGGGTTAGGAAAGACTGTAATAGACAAGCAACTGGAAAAAAAACAAGATTCAACCCAAATCATCTTCATCACTCATTTATTATAATTTCACTTTTTTCCCCTAGTTGCATTCAGTCATATTATAACTCTAGTGTTCTGCATATAAAACACTCATTAAAAAATACATTTCTTTAAAGCTGCTTCTGTTAAAAAAAGTGAAACATCTAAGTAAATTGCACACCCAGTTTGCAGATGTTGGATTTTAGGTAACAGGCTTGCAAATCACAGAAAGTCGCATCAGTGACCAGTGAAGATGCAACTGTAAAAAATAAAAAAAAATCTGGATTCTTGGCAGCCTATCCATAAGAAAATCATCTTCCTCACGAGGACTGGAAACTTGGTCTGGAGAAAAAGACGACTGCCAGAGAAAAGGCTTATAATTTTTTTTTTCCATAGTGGATGGGTCCTTGAGCATAACTGCACCCCTCCATGGTCTCAAGAGGCTTATGAGCTATTTTTCCATCCATAAACCTCATGAGGACCAGGAGCTTGATCCAGAGAAAAGCATGTCAAATAAAGGAGTAAGTTTTCCCCCCTGAATTGAATGGGTTCTTGAGCATAGTCTCAAGAGGCATATGAGTTATTTTATCAAATTGGCCTACAAGATACCCTGAACTGACACAATCTCTACAACATAACACTCATCAATACTGACCTAAGAAGGCACGCTCTGGTTTTGACCTTTCTCTAACCTGAAATTCTCATAAAGTAATTTTTGGGGGGTGCACATGGGGCGAGACGAGAAGACAGATCTCACGTAACAACACTTAGTGGTTCTAGAGGTCAGCTCAGAACTCTTGTTTAGTTCATCCAGACTGTTAGGAATAATCAAACTGAGTAAATCTCTTCAGTACCCCCCCTCCAGTAGATTGAACTGTAACTTCTGCACCTCCCACTAGTGAGTATTAAAAAGTGCAGCACAGTGGAAGATGCCCAGAGCAATATTTTTGGGGTGCCCACATGTGGGGAAGAGGGAACGATGCCCTCAAAGCTTCCAGTGGCTGTGAAAAACCTCCCCAAACTTTTAAAAAAGTGCCTATCCAGAGACTGCCCTTTTTTCTTTTGCTTTTTTAAAAAAAGTGCACAAATAAGAGAAATCGTTGCATAGATTTTCTCCCCTGGTTTTGGGACTCTTAAAAAGGAGACATAGGTCCCCAGGGTCCTTAATAGAAATCCAGCTTGGTCTGCACGGTTTTACAGCCTTTGTCCGAGTAAATCTTCTCGTCCTTGGGGAAAAAGGTCATCTCGTTAGCCACCTGGTTGATGATCTCTTCGTTGATCGGGTTGCTGCGGGATTTCATCTCTGCCCGGATGCACATCTTGACGTGCTTGTACTCCAGGGGAAGGAACGGAACAAAGTAATCGATGAGGTTTCGGTCGATCAGGCTGCTGTGCCACAGGCCGCCTGGGGAAGAGACGAGGCGTGAGAAAAGGGGGAAGCCCTGGAAGGGAAGCGGAGGGGGTCCCTGGGAAAGGGGGCCCACGTCCGGTTTTCGTGATGAGCGCTAAAGATCTCCTGCTACGCCTGCCAAGGTAGGTACTCATAGCGGGGCCTTATGGGTGGTGGCTCCCTCTTCTTCCTGCAGTGTTCGCCCTAACTAGATTTGAGAGATGCCTGCGGTATATTCTCTCCAAACAGGTCCTTGTTGAAAACTTCTGTCTTTAGTCTTCCCTCTCAAGCATGGGTGATGGATAAAGTTTTCCTCCTTCCCTCTCCCTTTTGTTTTCCTTCCTTCTTTCCTTCCTTCCTCTTCTTTCCTTTCTCTCCCTTCCTCCCTTCTCCTTCCTTCCTTCTTTCTCTCCCTTCTTTTCCTCCCTCCTTCCCTTCCCAAAGCATATTATCTGAACCTCCCCTTCCCTTCCCTTCCCTTATCCTCATCACTGTCTATCTTCCCATCTTCCTCCAATTTCAAGACACAATCTTTCAGACAGCCTGGGAACTGATAACATGCAGATGCTGAGTTGTCAAAGACACCCAGAACATCTTTTTTGCATGGGATTTGGGAGGGGAAAATCCAACGCAGACCCAAGACCACTACTCACTGTTCCTGTTGTTGAAAACCCCCAGGGACAAGACCACTTCCAGATCTTTCAGCCCGATCTCTTCCCTCTCTCGGCCGCTCCTCCAAAAATCTAGCGCGACTTTCGTGATCAAGTCACCGCCCGCGTTACTGTTGGGAAGCAGAGGTTGAAAAGAACCAGCATTACAAACCCAGCCCTTTCCCACACCCAATATGACCCATGGGTCGCTTAAGGCACAGGTCGGCAACTTACGGCCTCAGCGCCAAAGCTGCCTGTTCCATTGGATTGAATTTGAAATTCCATTGAATTTCAGTGTCTATTTTTCAGAAGTCTGCAGCAAGAATTCTTGCAGCTGAAGATGCAAAACTCATCTCTAAACCCTCTGGGGGGAAATAATGCCCCAAGTGATGCGTTCCCACCCCTGGTGAATTCCTGCCTGCACCTTAGGGAGGGTGATCACTGCCTCTCAAAAGGGCAGAGATCCTTGCTTAAGCCTTCTCACAACCCCATAAATATTGGGCTGAGTTGTGGCTGTGAGTTGAGGATTAGCTGTAGTCTTAGAGCAGCTGTATCTTAGGTTAGACAGAAGGAAAGCAGCGGAGAGCATTTCATTCCGATCATAATAAACTCCGGTTAACTTATTCAGACCCCAGATCTGCCAGCACCTGAGGAAAATGAAGATGGCTCTCCGATACGACACGCCGTCAATCTGCTCGTAGTAATCCAGGAAGGGTTTGATGGCGTCAATCAACCCCGGGTGCAACTTGTCCATTTCGTCAAAGATGAAGAGGGACTTTGCGCAGCTGCTCACGTTGCCTCGGATCCATTTCTGCAGCTGGTCCTGGAACCCAGGAGGGCAGAGGTTAACAGCTGTGCAAAGATTCACCTCCCCGTTTAGACCGGAAGGCCATCGGATCAGACCTCCAGTGTCACTTAATGACTGTCTCACTTAGCAACAGGAACTTTGGCCTCAATTGTGGTGTTCGCTCCAGGACTCCCTAGAAACCCAGAGCAGAATCCTTCCCCTTAAATACCCAGAACTTTTAAAGTTGTGCTTTGTGTTCTTCTCAGCTTCTTCCTTCCAACTGCTTCATCTTTTCTAGAAGTCACAAGGTTATTATTTATTTATTTTTTTACAAAAGGGGATCTCAGTGCCTTGTGGAACCAGCTAAGCTAGTTTCTTTCTTTTCTCAGTTCTTTCCTGGAAAGGGCACCAGAGGACAAATAAACAGCATTTCCTGGAGGGGACAGCAGCCACTGGTTCCCAGCTCCTTTCCTTCCACGATCATTGGGGAGTGGGTTAGAGGGAGTCCCACCTTAGCCACGATTCTCAGACTTATTCTCTCAGCCTCCCTTGGCCCAACAGCAGCCCAGAAGGGGCTGTAATTCTGACAAAGACTCTGCAAAGAGAGCCGCTTGCACCCGACTCAGCCTTTGCTCTCACCTTGTAGAGGGGGACCAGGTGCTCGTGCGGGAAATGCAGCGTGGAAAGAAAGAGGTGCACAAATTTGCTCTTGAGCCCGGCTGGGTAGAGGTTCTCGGCGATGATCTGGCTGACAAAGTTTTTGCCCGTCCCGGCCCAGCCGTGCAGCGAGAGGACCAGCGGCTTCTTCGGGTTGGGGTTGTTGATGAAGCCGGTCAGCGCCTTCAGGATGACCCCTTGGGCCAGGTGCTGGCCGAAGAGCCTCTCGTCCAGGGCCTGCTGCAGGGCTGTGGAGGGAAGGGATGAGGAAGGGAATGGGAAAATGAAGAGGAGGGAGGGAGAGAGAGAGAGAGAGAAAAAAAAGAGAGAAAGAGGGATCTTTTGATATCCTCCTGGGATGGAGTCCTAGACACTTAAGACTTTAAACGGGTGCAGAGACGGGCTGGGGAAGATGGGAACTGTGTTCCCAGGTTTCCAGAGGCAGCTTGCAGACAAGATCAGCTGGGGATGATAGGAGATGGTGTCCTCTACCCTGAAAGCAGGTGCAGAGGCAGGTTGGGGAGTATGGGAGATGTATTCCCAAAATGTCTCCCGGGGGTGGGGGGGAAGGACAGCAGCCGGCCGGGCTCCGGGCTCCCCCCCTCCCGTCCCAAATACCTGCGGGGTCGGGTCGGTGGTCGTCGGGAGGGCAGCACTCCACGAAGGCGCAGTAGAAGCGGGGCGAGGAGAGGTAGCCGGTCAGCATGGAGGCCGCCCCGATGGCCAGGCTGACGCTGACCGGCTCCAGCGCCGCCGACCGCAGCGCGCCCAGCAGCAGCAACGGCAGCAGCCCCGCCGGCCGCAGCATGACTGCCTCTCCGGCGCCCGCGACTACAACTCCCGGCAGGCCCCGCGGCGGCACTTCCGCCCGGCTCTGCGCGCGGCAGCCGCCATCTTAGTGGAGGGCGCCGCGACCCTCCGGGGGTTGACAGCCCCGCGGGGCAAATCAAAGACCCTGCAGCGTGGCTCTCCGGGTTGGGGGGGGGTCTCCCTATCGTGGCTTGTTCTATGCCACGATGCCTGGGTAGCTGTATTGCTAAGGGACGGGAAATTGTGTTATTAAAAAGTTAAAAGGTGTATTTTCTTTTGTGGCTGCAATGCCTGCTCTGACCACAGGATGGCACAGTTTCCCGTCCTGTAGCAATAGAACTGAGGCCTACGATTCCTCAATGTTAACGCTAAGGGGCAGAAAAGAGTGCCCTCCTGTGGTCACAGTAGGAAGCGCAACCAGACCGGGAAATAAACCTTTTCAATGGGATTTTAAGGTTATTATTCTGCATCTTCATTATTAGAAGCCCTGTTATTAACATTAATAGAGCAACGGGAGGCCCGGGGGCTGCAGAACAGGCAAAGAAGTAGGAATCCTGCTTCAAAAGACTTAATCCGACATATAAAAGCCAGATAGCTTCAATGGATAGAAGATAATAATCTTAAAATATTATTAAAAGGTTTATTTTCTTTTCTGGCTGCAATACCTGCCCTAGCCACAGGATGGCACAGTTTTCCATCCCCTAGCAATAGTACTGAGGCCATCTATACATCACAGGGCATGCCACGAGTGCCCTCCTGTGGTTATTTTGGACATAGCGGCCTGAGAGGGACTACAAAGACCATCTATACGACAGGGCATAAAAGAGTGCCCTCCTGTGGTTATTTTGAGTATAACAGCCTGAAGGGGACTACAAAGAGCATATATAACAACAGGCATGAAAAGAGTGCCCTCTTCTGGTTATTTTGGGCATAGCGGCAAGAAAGGGACTACAAAGACCATCTATAGCACAGGGCACGCAAAGAGTGCCCTCCTGTGCTTATTTTGGGCATCGCAGCCTGACAGGGACTACAAAGACCATCTATAGGAAAGGGCATGAAAAAGGTGCCCTCCTGTGGTTATTTTGGGTACAACAGACTGAAGGGGACTACAAAGAACATATATAACACAGGGCATAAAAAGAGTGCCCTCCTGTGGTTATTTTGGGCATAGTGGCCTGAAAGGGACTACAAAGACCATATATAACACAGGGCATGCAAAGAGTGTGCTCCAGTGGTTATTTTGGGCATAGCAGCCAGAAGGGGACTACAAAGAGCATATATAACACAGGGCATGAAAAGAGTGCCCTCCTGTGGTTATTTTGGGCATAGCGGCCAGAAAGGGGCTTCTAAGACCATCTATAGCAGTGGTGGCGAACCTATGGCACGGGTGCCAGAGGCGGCACTCAGAGCCCTCTCTGTGGGCACGTGCACCGTCGCCCCAGTCCTAGGCCTTTAGTTGGGTTTTATAAAACGTTTTCGCTTTAGGCCTCCGCCGCCGTGTGCAAAAAAAAAAAAAAGGTTCAATCAGTCAGTCAATTTCGACTTCTCGCAGGAAAAAAAGATCTTGCAAAGTTGGAATTGATTGATTGAACTTATTAGTCCCACCCAGTCTGCCGTTACCACCGCAGCTACACCCAGCCAATGGGCCACACCCACCCGGCACCCAACGATACATAAGTGGGTTTTGGGTTGCAGTTTGGGCACTCGGTCTCTAAAAAGTTTGCCATCACTGATCTATAGCACAGGGCATGCAAAGAGTGCCCTCCTGTGGTTATTTTGGGTACAGCGGCTAGAAAGGGGCTTCTAAGACCATCTATATAGCACAGGGTACGCAAAGAGTGCCCTCCTGTGGTTATTTTGGGCATAGAGGCCTGACAGGGGCTTCTAAAACCATCTATAGGACAGGGCATACAAAGAGTGCCCTCCTGTGGTTATTTTGGGCATAGAGGCCTGACAGGGACTACAAAGACCATCTATAGGACAAGGCATGCAAAGAGTGCCCTCCTGTGGTTATTTTGGGTATAACAGCCTGAAGGGGACTACAAAGACCATATATAACGCATGGCATGCAAAGAGTGCCCTCCTGTAGTTATTTTGGGCATAGCGGTCAGAAAGGGACTTCTAAGACCATCTATAGCACAGGGCATGCAAAGAGTGCCCTCCTGTGGTTATTTTAGGTACAGCGGCTAGAAAGGGGCTTCTAAGACCATCTATATAGCACAGGGTATGCAAAAGTGTCCTCCTGTGGTTCTTTTTTGTTCCTCTGTGGACCTGTCCTTCTGTCGTTTGGAATCCCTTTGGGAACGGGTGGAAACTAATCAAGGAGAGAAGCAACCTAGAACTAAGGAGAAACTTCCTGACAGTGAGAACAATTAACCAGTGGAACAACCTGCCTCCAGAAGCGGTGAATGCTCCAACACTGGAAGTTTTTAAGAAGAGACTGGACAGCCATTTGTCCGAAATGGTATAGGGTTTCCTGCCTGAGCAGGGGGTTGGACTAGNCCTCCTCCTCCTCCTCCTCCTCCTCCTCCTCTCTCTGGCACAGACCCAGCAGAGATTCTGCTGACCCCTTACTGCAGGGGTCTTCCCCCCTGGCCCTTGCATGACTGTGGACTTCAACTCCCAGAATTCCTCAGCCAGGATGCTTTAAGACAGAGGTCTTCCAACGTGGCCCTTTGATGACTTGTGGACTTCAACTCCCAGAATTCCTCAGCCAGGCATGCTGGCTGAGGAATTCTGGGAGTTGAAGCCCACAAGTCATCAAAGAACCACGTTGGAAGACCCCTGCCTTACTGGAAGGAAAGCCACCGCCCACCCCATTTTGGATTTTGCCTGGAGAGGCTTGTGCTGATCAGGGGCAGTGGTGTTTTTTTTTTTAAGGTTTTAAATTTAAATTGCCTCCAGAAATTGTGGGGAGGCTTTTATGAAGAAACTGGATAGGCATTTATCAGACATACAGTACAGAACTCTCTTTGTGAGGGCAGTGGGTTAGACTAGATGACCTCAAGGTCCCTTCCATCTCAGTTACTGTTGCAAGCCGGCAATTCTGTAAACTCTACCCCCATCTCCCTCTGCGTGCCTGGTTGGAGACTCTTAAGATAGTGGCCAGCAAGTGTTGTTGTTTTTTTTAAGGTTTTAAATTTAAATTGCCTCCAGAAGTTGTGGGTGTTGAGAGGGACAATGAGAGGGAAGAAAGGAAGGAAGGATCAAGAAAAAGAACAGGGAAGGTGGGAGGAAATATCAAAGGATGGATGGATGGATGGATGGATGGAAGGAAGGAAGGAAGGAAGGAAGGAAGGAAGGAAGGAAGGCAGGCAGGCAGGCAGGCAGGCAGGCAGGCAGGAAGGAAGGAAGGAAGGAAGGATGGGAGGGAGAGAGGAAGGGAAGGCGCCCCCCCGTCCCACCCCCCTCCACCAGAGACCCATGGATCCCCCCCCACATCCCCGCCCGCACCCCTCACAGGCACCCCACAAACTGAGTGATGAGCTGGTCACGCCCCCCCCCATTGACTTCACTTGTGAAAAAGTTGCAAAAGGTGATCACGTGACCCTGGGACAGTGACCGTCATAAGTATAAATCAGTTGCCAAGCATCCGAATGTAAATTACAGGACCCTGGGGATGCTGCAACGGTCGTTAAGTGTGAAACATGGTCATAAGTCCCTTTTTCCAGTGCCATTGTAACTTCGAACAGTCCCTAAGCAAATTGTTGTAAGTCGAGGACTGCCTGTACCTTATCATTTTTTTTCCTTTTTTTTTTTTTTTTTTTTTTTGGTCATCAAGTTTTTGACACCTTGCTAGGCGACTGGTGGGACTCGGATATTGCCTTACCCTCAAAGTGGTACAATGGGTGAAAAGGTTGACAGGCCCTGGACTAGCTGACAGAATGCACCCAAAATTCAGGACCCAGGTCTCCATGGAATTGAAAAATGGCAAAAATTAATAGGGCAGCCTTCATCAACCCTCAAAATTCTCATTCTGCAATCTTTAACTGGGCAAAACTTCCTAGGACAACAATTTTCCATCTGATGTATCTCAGATAGGATTTCTAAGACAATGCACCCAAAATTTAGGACCCAGGACTACATGGAATTGAAAATCAGCAAATTTAATAAAACAACTTTCTTCAGCCCATAAAACTCTCAATCTGTAACCTTTTCAAGGATAGTGTTTTCAAGGCTGTCCCCCCACTCTGATCCCACTGGCAAACTGGGAATTTTGGAAAACAAATTTATCCTCATCCACAAAACATTGAGCAAAAGTGTTCATTACATTGGACCACTGATTATGGTAGCTGAGGGGCCCTTGTTGACTGATTGGTCGATCGGTTATATGCTCTCTACTTAAAACTAAAATGTTCAAGCAACCTTTATGCACTTGATGTGTCCCAGGATTCTTGAATTTTAGCCCCCATGTTGCTCAACCAATTAAGGTAGGGTTGGGGATAGCTGAAAGTCTATATAAAGAGACCCCTATGCACTGAATTGTCGTCCTCTGAAGCCATCCTACCTTTCCTTATTTCGTGACAGGTCACTGCCAACGAATGATTGTGTCTCATGAAACCAGGAAGTTCTTCGGCCTTTTTGTCAAGGTTCCAATAGTGACCTTTCAGCACCGTGGACAGCTGCCCTTCCTCTCTCACAATGCTCAAGTGGAGCTACAAGGACATAAAAATTTAACAAACAAACAAGCAAACTTTGGCAACTCTTAAGATGTGTGGACTTCAGGTCCCAGAATTCGGGCCTCCCAGTCAAAGAAGAGTATGTTCTACCTATGGGACCCTCTTGTAGCCCCTGAGATGGACAGATTCACACAGTGCATTAAGGCTAAGCCATGAAAGTGATTCCTCTTGTTTGGCCTTGGTGGGTGGTTAACAATGAAAGTTTTGTTCTCAGTTGTGGTTGCGAGTCAAGGACCACTTTATTTGTGGGTGAATGTGGACTTAGGGATAGTATTCTCAAACTTAATATCTGCTTTCTTTAAACTATAGCTTAAAAATA